GCCCGCTCACTCAATATCACGTATCCCTGCTTAGGCAGGTAGGGGCGGCTGCATCGATTATGTTACGAAAATAAGTTCATAATAGTAAACTGACAAAGAAATCAACGTTGTAGAATTTGGACCACGTAAGTCTATTTTTTAGATGCAACCGCGTATAAGGATTCCTCCAAGATCTGACCTTTCATGAAGATTATGCGAAGGCGCATGAAAATAATTTGTAACTTTTGGTGTATTTTTACCACACCTGGTGCATTAGTGTATTAGGCCAAGTGATGTAGGATATCTAATAGTTGGCGTGGCCCGACTATAATGGTCTTACTTGTTTTTACTTATGTCAAAATATTTCGAAACAAAAATCCTCAATCGTAGTTCTATTCAGATGAGAGCGACTCCAAAGCTTTTGTAGTTTCTACCAAAAAGTTGAAAGCTTTACACTGCAGTTTTTAAAGTTGATTGTGAACCCAATAAAACAATTTTTTTTTTTACCTTCTTCGTGATCAATTATAATAAAAAATTGTTTCCTGCCCTTGGCAGACAAAACAGAGGAAAGAATTTCGAAAAATGTCTGAACACAAAAGAGTATTAATATTGTAATAGTATTGCAATTGCAGGCTAATGGAAAAAAAAGAAAAGAAAAAATCCATTACAACAAAGAAATTTGTATGTAACACACTTCACAACTTAAAATGCGTTTTTCTTAAAACGTGAGTTGCAAAAACACCAAGAGCAACATAACTTGAACAATTTTCATTCTTTCAATATGAATTGTTTACCATATCTTCCGAAAGTACTTTTTAAGAGGAATGCGCAGGAGATTTCCGGTGAGTTGAAAATTTTTTGTTAACAGAAGAACCGCTTTTCTTGGTCAAAATTTGAACATTCGTTAATCACGTAAAAATCGATGTTCTCAAAGTCCCCTACGTACTTTTTTGCTTTCTATCAATGTTCACTACAATATTCTGTTCATTTCTTATACCTCTGAGTCTCACTGGGGCGAAAACAATACGAAATGTGTAAGAAAGACAAACTCGATTGCTTATTTATATGACTAGAAAAAAAAGTAAAGAACTAACCTTTTCCTTACTCTACAATATTGGGTGGGCACGGCTGCTTGTAATTTCAAAAATTGGAAATTTATTGTATGTATTGTTACTTTATGAGTAACGACAAGGACCAGGGAAAGCTAAGTTGCTTACAGTTTTTGTTGCATAAGTAACGACAAAGACAAGGGAAAGCTAAGATTTGCAGAGTTGCATAAGCATACGTTGTAGGCGTGCCGTTTAATCGGTTTTTTCATTTTTAAATTGAGAATTTTCAATGGAGAATGTTTACCGTAGATACTGCACGGTTGCGCAAGCGGACAAATGGACAGAAGGACATGATTTCCAATTTCTAAGCATTTATATACTTTGTGGAGTTTTTGAAGTTTGCTTCTGCGCGTTACACAGTATTAAAGAAAAAATTAAGTATTTGATATACTATAATATTGAGTAGGAGCGGTCAATTTTTTCTATAGCATGCCAAATTTGAAGTCGATATCTTCATTTTTGCGGGCAGAAGTATATTTATAACAGACCTTATACAGACGGACAGCTGTATATACTCAAACCGATCTAAAATTTGATGCTGATCACGATCACCTGTCTCTGAAGCGTCCTTCTGGGCATTGCAAACATTCTGATAAAGTGAATGTACTCCCCATCTTTCGGTGCAACAAAAAAAAAAAGAAGTGTGGTCTTGCAAGCACTTACTCATTTGACAGCGAGCGTCAACGTGTTAAGTATGTATGCCAAAATGTTACAATACGGCTTTGTCAAAATAAGGCCTTCCTTCTACAGTCGCAAAACTAATTCAATCGATTTTCAATAGTATTCGTGCTTGTACGAAAACGCATCAGTCTATCTAATTTCATCCAAATATCTTGAAAATTGCAACCAATAGGGTGAACACAAGAAAACAAGACGGATAGACAGGCAAACAAACTTGTGATTTGTGTGATTTTGTATCAATACAAAAAAATGCCTTACGACTAGCAAGGTCTCCGTGGTGTTGCTCAGAATACATCTGTAAAACCGAGATCACGACATAATCTCGAAATCGAAACAATCGCGCAAAAATTGGACGGTTCACGAAAAGACTGTTTCGAACCAACTCTTTCTCTTACTTATTTCAATATAATATTAATCAGGGTAGTATTATTGATCAAATTTTTCCTGTTTGTTTTTTTTTTTCTATTTTCCCTCAACGTTACTTTGTATTATTTATAGCTTTTTTGTTTTTTAAAAAACCAAAAACAGCTACAGACGCTTTGCTCCGAATATTGTGTACCCGTCCTTTTAAGGAAATGTATAAACATTGCCTTATGAAGGTTGCAAAACTTTTCATATAACAGTTTTATATAAGCAGTCACTGAAATTTCATTAGCGTCGAACATCGGTCAGATACATCTGTGCTTCAATCATATTTAACAAGTTGCGGTTTTCAATGATTCGCGAATGATTTTTAAGAATTGCACGAAAGCAGAGATAATTGGACGAATGGAAACTGAATATAAATACCGGTTTATGAATGGATGTCATGCAACATCCATTCGGATAGTGTTAGCTATATAGAGAATAATCAGTATAACACACCGTCATCGTTCAGCACTGAAATAAATAAACAATTTTGATTGTTTTTCTCAATTTTATTTGTAACGTCACAAGTCAACAAAGTGCATTATTATGCATTGCATGTAAATTAAGTTTATTTTTAACTTTTGCCTTCATTCTATAATCATATAATATAATATAATATAATATATTGCATGATGTTGATAGGAGTGTACGTGTACGACAGCGAAACAATAAGTTTTATTGCTAAAGCCGTTTGACGAAAGCTGAATTGCTTTCATTAGACTGGTGTGTCTGAAAAATAACGTGAATTTTCTCACAAAATGAAAAAATGTTTATTTACCCGGCAGAAAGCTGATCATGATCGTGAAGAAAACTGTTAGCATCGACTTTGTTGCGATTTTTCACCCTTGGCTCGCCTTTTGTTCGATATTCTCTCGATTGATCGGTTGTTTCCGCGTCGTTTGCGTAGATCCATACTATGTCGCCCGTAATAATGCGTTTCATGACCGCATCATAATAGTCAGAAATCATCTGCTCACATATATTGCAAAAATCGGAAAAAGATTTTTTGTATCGCACTAAAATCAGAGCACCTGAAACACTAATGCCGCATGTGATGTGAAATGTGGCACAGATGTCTGTCGCACTGCCATTAATTTCGAAAAAAAATATTCGACATATGCAATATATTAGGGAAAAAATTGATTGGGAAAAATAGATCTAACATGCTAAACAAGGCTCGTTTAACACCGTCAAGGAATAACGCGAAAGCTAGGTATCAAAAAAAATCTTTTACACCTTCTCTCTCTCTTTCTCTCTCTCTCTTTCTCTCTCTCTCTTTCTCTCTCTTTCTCTTTCTCTTCAATGGTCAAAAAAAATAACAATTAATTTAATCGCTTGAGCGGCGAACGGCTCATGAATTTATGTAATCATAGTGACTTGTACGTACAACATGGACGAGTCTATCGTATCAGTAGAGTTCTTCCATATACAAGATTGAATGACCAGTGCCTTTTTGATACAAAAACTAACTCTTGACACATCACAGCGGTTGACGCCATATATACATACGGCAGCCACTTATTGTATTTTCATTGTAGACGTACATTGGTGGGAAAGCACGGTGCACTTGCGCCGTCTCCGTAAGACGAAAGAATTAATAACGAGTTTTTTGCTTAAAGCTTGATATGTCAATAGTGTCACAATATTTTGTCGAGAGAATTTGAATTGTGTCGAACTCGCCGGAGGCCAAGGATGCCCAGGCTGTTAAGTTGGGATACGTCATGGTTCGTAGTACAACCGACTCTCATCGATAGTTAACAAATTATTTAATAGGCCGTTGCCATCCTCCGCTATGTTTTGCTTTTGCTGAGCAGAGGGCAACACAACCAATTTCGATTTTATTACGAGCTTCTGCAAAAAAGGGCATATGAGGTTCGAGAAAAGCGTTATTAGGTTCAGATTTTTTCCGCTTTACACCCTGCACACGCGCTTACTATTCTACTATATGAAGCCATTTATTCCGCATTTACTACTCCACATGATTGGTTAAAATTGAAAACATGCATGATTAAGTTTTCTTATAGTGATAGCCTGCACAGTTTTTTAATGCTATAGATCCGAAATGAAATTGTTTGGAATATTCCAGAAGCAAATAAGAGATAATTATTTATTTATTTATTTATTTACACATGAAATTCAGTGAACATAAGCTTATAAACTTTTATAAAATGTAACAAAGAAGAACCAACCGGTGTATAGACCCGAGTGGGCACTAACCATCTAACCCATTGCACACATGGAGAAGATTGGCTATCATTATAACGAACATATTTCGTTCATCTACCAATCATAAGACACTTTAAGAATTAACAGTTGCTATAAACACGACATAGGTAAAGCGTAGCCAGAGTAGCTTTGATAGAATTTTGGAAGACGGATATTGGGATCAAATTATAGATAACATTGTTCACATTACACTTGCATGCATATTGCACGCAGAGACTTTGCAAATAGAGCAAGTTTTCGTGGACTTTAGGCGTGCTAAGAATAGTACAAGTGGATTATGGAGAGATCATGAGCAGACCACAATAGGCATTCTTGAAAGCCTAAATCATATCTTCAGAATCGATTGATAGCCTGAAAATATACACCTATTAAATAGATCCAGCAATGTCTTTGCATATTTTCAGTAAATATTCATGAACGCAATCAAGAGACAAAGTTTTTTCGGTACCAATGCAATGTTTTCAATAAAATTTCCATCTCTCTGATCTTATCATTAGCAAATAAATGTACTATTGATTCAACTTGTACCGTCTTGCTTTGTATATACATTTTCGGAAATTTAAAAATTTTTTAATTTTCTTCTTTGTTTGTTTGCAGAACTGCTGGTACTGTAGGAGCTGTTGTAACATGCCCTCTAGAAGTGGTTAAAACCCGATTACAAAGTTCAACAGCCTTTTTGACACCGCCACGAGCTGTAGAACCACCCGGCTCAACAAATGCATCGTCCGAACTACTACGGCCCGAACAGAGACGTAAGCTTAGTACAACCATATTACGCAACAGATCGCAGCCACAGGTGATTGGGGGTGTCCGTAGGGTAGTACCAACTCTTTTTAAAACTAATTTAAAAGAAAAATCGGCTGAAGCTCATTCTAAATCCATCGAAAGAAAAGTCATCTAGTCTACATATATGTATATGTATATATATATATATATATATATATATATATATTGGTAATTGGTTGGCGCATAATTATCAGGCGTTCTTGAACACTATTTGTTATGAGAAGAGAAACATGAAAATTTAATATTAACATTTTTGAATGATTAATCCGGAACTTGGTCACTATATCCGTCAATTATATAACTTTCCAAGCTCTTTGAGACAACGAATGATGGTTGAATGATCTGATCCACATTGAAGTTGTCGGCCAGCATTCGAGTTTTCAAGTTTTCGTTCTCTTCCACGGCTGCCAAAAGCGGCTGGTCCGATAGCCGACCTCTTCCTGGCCTAATCTCTCAAACTAATGTCGCCAGATTTAAAGTCGGCAAAACATTCCCTGCATCGACTTTCGTTGATTGTGCCCTCACCACAGAAAAGTTCGTTGAGATCGCGAAATGACTGCGCCGCCTTCCATGCTTTCTCAATGTGATGCAGCATAATATGACGCATATGACTATGATTTTCATTCATAAATTTATAAAATATTGTAAATTTGTATTCATATATATAGCACGTCAAAGGAACGCCTGATAATTACGCGGCAATCGTAATAATATATACAATGCAATATACAACGATGACGTTTCATTAAAACTTTTCTTTCATTTTTGGGGTTTTTGGTGCTTGTTGTAATATGTAAACTAGAGTAGCTGTAGTGGTATAATGATTGTTTGTTCATCCTTTCAGTTTTCTTAAATTGTTTTTTAAAGGTGCATCCTTTCCCACTTTCTTTTACAGATAATGGCTATTTCACACTGTGGCATCTCATCAACTTCCACAAAATCCATGAGTATCATCCAATGTCTCAGGTATAAAATTACTGAAAATTGTTTACATCTTTTTTTTTTTTTTTTACGTTAATTAATTTATTGTATTTCGTAAAACGTAGGCATATAGTACAAAACGAAGGCCCACGTGCTTTATTCAAAGGTCTTGGACCAAATTTGGTCGGCGTAGCACCGTCACGTGCAATATACTTTTGCACATACTCGCAAACCAAAAATACCCTCAATAATTTAGGGTAAGTGCAGAGTAATTGCTTAGATTTCTATATATAATCGATGGTGAATTGAAACAAGCGTGACTTTCTCTTGTTCTTTTTCTTATTTAAATAGCTTTATACAGCCTGATTCACCGCAAGTACACATAATGAGCGCAGCTAGTGCTGGTTTTGTCTCCTCCTCCGTAACAAATCCAATTTGGTTTGTTAAAACACGTTTGCAATTGGACTATAATTCCAAAGTGCAAATGACCGTAAAAGAGTGCATCGAACGTGTTTATGCGCAAGGTGGTATTAGTGCCTTTTACAAAGGCATCACCGCCAGTTATTTCGGCATCTGTGAAACTGTTGTGCACTTTGTGATTTACGAGTTCATCAAATCGAAGTTGGTTAGTAATAAAAAAGAGAAAGCATGCAATGCTTTTAATAACTATACTCTATTAATTATTG